TTAAACATTTAAGTACCCCGAGTGATGTGGTATCCAACTCGGTATTATTTGCTGACGTGGTCAGTAACGTAGATTATTATTAATCTAAAATTAGTCTTTTTTTTTAGTCTAAAATTAGTCTTCACTGGGTTATTCGGGTACTTAAATGTTTAAAACTTTACATCTTATGTATCAAAATGGAAATTTTGAAAATACGTTACCCAAAATAGAAATCAAGTTAAATTAGTACGTTACTTTTTCATGTAATTTGTTCAATAAAAAAATAGACATTAAAATTTAAAAATGAACATTTAAAAAAATACCATTCAAGAAACACTAATACTTTTAGAAAGATTCAAAAATTCATAAAAAGTTGAGCTTAACATATCCAATTTTTTTTCCTCTTAAAATAAATGAATTCTTTTTATAAACTAATAATTTCACTCCCTATTTAACATTTTTTTCAATAATACGTAATAACTTTTAAACTATTATACACAATAATCATAATTTCTTAATAAACCCCAGATAAATTAAATTAATCAATCCAATTTTAAAGTTAATTTATATTTTAGCTGGTGATAGAAAAAGACGAAAACGTATCATTTAAATCATTATTCTGAAGCTCAATTAGGGGCTGTTTACCAAATTTTCTATTAAGTCCTGTATGGATAAATTTGTCTGTCTGGATAAATTTGGCTGTCTGAATAAATTTAGGTTGCTGTTTACTTTTCCATCTGAATCAACAGTCTGAATAACAGAAATGACCAATTTACCCCGGAGTTGTTAAGTTTTAACACATTAGAGGAATCAGTAGTTCTTGTTTCAGCTAAATAGTCAAGGCAAGCTGATGTTATACAACCCATGTTAAACAAACCCAATATACTGGTTTAACCCTCTGGTTTAAGCATCAAACAATAAAATCGAGACCGAATACAAAAAAATCGAGCAGCAAAAACTCGAACAGCAAAAACTCGAACAACAAAAATCGAGCAGCAAAAACTCGAACCTAAGACCGAATAGAACCTAAGAATCGAGCAGCAAAAACTCGTCATACAAAATCGAATCGAGCAGCAAAATCGGAAGCAAACAGAGGATACAAACCGAATCGAGCAGCAAAAACTCGAACAGCAAAAATCGAACAGCAAAAATCGAGCAGCAAAAACTCGAACCTAAGACCGAATAGAACCTAAGAATCGAGCAGCAAAAACTCGTCATACAAAATCGAATCGAGCAGCAAAATCGGAAGCAAACAGAGGATACAAACCGAATCGAGCAGCAAAATCGGAAGCATCAAAATCGGAAGCAAACAGAGTATACAGGACCAAAATCATCGATTAGGGTTTTGGAGGAGGAAGAAACCTGTCGAGGACCAAAATCGCCCAGACCGTGAGTTTTACAAGGGTAGGTATGTCTTTTTTGTTGGCTTAATGTGGACAAGTGCCTAAAATGGTCTGTGCGAATAAGCCCCTATCTGGGCGAATAAGCTCGAAGTAAACAGCCTAAAATGGTTGTGCGAATAAGCTCGTTTATCCGGTAAGCTCATTAAGCCACAAGTAAACAGGCCCTTAGTTAGAAATTAGAATATTAAAATAAAGTTTAAAAAGATGATTAATTGATAACAAAAAATAACACTTTATTTTTTAATTGAACTAAAAACATTAAAAAACGTACTTTACATTTGAATGGTTTTTTGTTTATAACTATAAACTTAGATCCTATAAATATAAATCATATAAATTGTTTTAATAGAACGCTTAAACATTTTAAGTGTCATATAAACCTAACATTGTTCTAGTGTGTTCTAATGATTTGTAAAACCATATAAAAGGATGAATAGTAAAAGAAAACGTTTAAAAAAAGTTATTACGACGCTTTATTGTTTTGTCAAATAAAATTGGTTTATTATGATACTTACACATTGTTTCCTTGGAAGGGCGTCCCAAATTATCCATAGACTAATCTTGATAAATTGTGACTGCAAGAAAATCAGTCTTGATAAACTCAGTAGCCATAATTGTTGTATATGTCTGAAATCAAACATTAGACAGATGGAAAGAATTTAGATATTGTTGATATCTTATAAACCTAAATTTGTGATGGTATATCTAATCTAGCATGAGTCTTCTCTTTAATGAACACTTGAAGGCTTGTGTTTTATCCTTGCGTTAGAAGGGATTCAAATTTATAAAGTAACTTTATATGCTTTTATTGTGTTTAAATATCATAAAGCAAATAATTGACGACATGATTACAAATTAATGACAATTAAATAATTTTTAAGATGATAAGTGGATTAAAAAGCAACATATACACCCATTTTTTTAAAAATTAAATTACTTTCACATCATTTAAAATAATGTAAATATATAAAATAATCCTTTTTTAAAATGATAAATTTAACATTTAATGCCTCATAATTAAGGGGTGTACTTAATTATTTAACAAATGTTTGATAAAGTGTTTTAAGTGGTAAAATACATAATATCTTATTGGATCATGGAATATAAAAGCTTTCGTAAGACGGTTAAATATATAATTTTTATAGGATCAGATAAATATATTGCCGTAAAAGAAAATTGCAGAAAATAAAACACACATATCATCGATTTCGATTTCAGATTAAGATAATGATTTATAAACATATATAGTTTGTTGCTTATGTAAGATATGATATTTTTCTGAATATGTTTAAATAATTTAAGGTTACGATCGTATTGTGTGACTTGTATAAAATAATTAACATGTCTTAGTAGACATAGACAAGTATGTATTCAACTATACGTTTTTGGCATAATTTTTCTTTAATATACAGTTCTTTATAAAGTGAGGTTTTTAGGAAAACAATTGTCTATTTTAAAAGATAGAAGATATGTTTGCATATATTCTACCTTCCAGACTTCACATTTGAACGAGATATAATATACTCGTAGAGTTTGATTTATATTGGTCCATTGAACAATAAGAAAGTAACTCAATTTCAAATTGATATTTTTTTTCGGATTTTCTTGTTTCTCGAGATCTATATACTGAAAAATTTGGTGATTTTTCAAGTAAGAATCGAAAAGTTGAAATATCTCTATATTTTAACCAAAAAAAAAAAATAGTAATTTAGTATACACAAAAATTAAAAGAATTTATAAAGAAAATTCCTTGAAGAAAAGATAGGAGATGAGATGGGCCGAATAAAATCCGTGTATCCTAATTCCAAAAATTGTAAGTAGCAGTAGCATTAGGAGAAAAACAAAACAAAACATACGTTGGTTGGAGAAACTTGTTTAATCAACCAATAAGCCCCAAAACTAAGGGGTGCATGGTAGAGAGAGGGGGTCAAATTCGGCCCGGCCCAGTCCAGCCCGACACTGGTTACGAGACCGTGATCGGTTATATATAGGTCCGATTTTTTTTTAAAGAAAAATTAAGTTTTTATAAATTATATATCAAGTTTTTCAAAAAATTTCCTTCAAATATTTCAAGTGTTCTTTTTAGTTTTTGTAAATGTTCTAACTCTAAATTTCAAAAATCATAATTACAGAAAAAGTTGTACCATTTTTATGTAAAAAAGATTTAAAATGTATTTGAATGACGCAATTAGAGATTTTAAAATGTATTTTAATAAGATGTTATACAAAAGAAATATTTCAAACACGATTTTTTATTTGTTCAAAATTGATTTTTGGGCGAAAAAATTGGGATTGATTTGGACACAGCCTAGGACCGAGTCCGGTTCTAGGGACCGGGCCTTGTAGATGGAGAAGGGACTGCATATTTTAGTTGGGATCGGGACCGGTTACAAAAAGAAAATATAGACAATCTTGAACCCAAAAAGATTTCGGCGGCCCAAGACCAGTTTTTGGTCATCTCTTGGCGGAAGCAATGACGAAACTAGTAAGTTATGAGATAGGGGGTACATTTAGGAGTATGAAGAAAATACAACGTGGAATAACCTATTTGAAGCAAATGAGATTCGGGTTAAACGTTTTTGGATTATTCAAAAAACCTTAGTAAAACATCATTAACGACAATGAAGAACGCAAAATCTGGCAATTAACAAGCATTTCAAAAGAACACACCATAATTAAATATTAAAATCATCCAAAAAAAACACTGATATCACTTAGAATTATGATGCCTGAAGCTGTGAAAGGGATCGCAAAGAGCAATAAGTGAGTCATCCGAAGAAGGTTGTGGCAATAATAGAAGAAGGTTCGGCGCAACAACGAAAAATAGTTAAAATAAATCCAAGAGTTAAGCTTTTTTAATAATAGTTTATAATATATTTTTTTAAGTTTTGTTGGTGAATATCCATTTTGATCTTAATCTTGAAGTTGAGACCAATACTTTACTGGTGAAAAGAATCCAGATAAAGTCCAAAAACCCGGCAATTGGTTAATTGAAAACATGTTCGATCAAGCTCCGGTCAAAGTCATTGCTTTTACCCCAAAAAGTAATTAAAACAATAATTTATGGTCATCGACACTAAAATTAATGTGTAACAAATTATAAAATATTTTACAAATATGTTTGCCGTTTCTTTGTGTGCCTCGACTTAAAACGCAACATTCAATACAAATGTAATCCATGACTTATTAAAAAGAATATTACATATTCTATAATCTAATATCACTCAATTAGATCACTTAAAATTGGATACAAACGATGAAGAAATGAAAACTACTCAAGACGCACAGAGAGAGAAAAAATAAAGACGTGAAAGAATTAATTAACGTTCAATATCACGAATTAACTATTTTCTTACTATTAATTAGTTCAAGATTAAATGAAAATTTGACATATTTATTTGTTCAATTCATTTTTTTATATATATGTTTATTATATTTTTAAAAATTACAAAAGGACCCGTTAAAACCGTATGTCCGAATTTAATTTTAAATTTTCGACCAACAATGGTTTAAAACCGGACTTAGTTTTTTTGGACATGATATTTTGTTTGGCTAAAAATAACCGAATATAATCCCGATCATTGTACATCTATAAAATAAATATAGAAAAGAAATGAAACGTTGGGAGAATGGAAAATCATTCCATTCCACCCAATCTAATAAGACATGAATAATGATTATCTACTTTTATATAAATATAAATAATCCAAAAAAAATTATATCTAACCAAACACCATTATTCCTTATAATTTCCATTCCTCACCCCTCACCCCAACCAACCACACCTTCTTATGAATTATGATTAAGATGATCATCCTTCCCAAAAGCGCAAATTTCCTTCTACAATCTGGAACTTGTGGAGGTTGCAAGGTGTATGAGATTTTTCCTCAAAATTTTCCCCGATGGGTTCTTGGGGACAGACTCGATGAACGCTACTGCTCTGATTCGCTTGTATGGAGCAACCTAATTTCACATTCAAAGATTTCAATTCAAATATTAAACCTCAAACAAATTAAATTTATATCAGAAAATTAATGGTAATGTAACGTTAATTCACCTGTTTAGCAACAAACTCCATAACTCCCTTTTCACACAAATTACTTCCATTTTTCCTCACCACATACGCCATAGGAAATTGTCCTACCTCCTTATCGGGAAACCTGCATATCACACACCAAACATCTCAATTGCCCATTCTACTTTAATTTCACTTCTCTACTACTCCATTATAAGAGGCCAACTTACGGGATCACGGCACAATCGTCGACTTCCGGGTGCATTAGTAACAAAGCTTCAAGTTCTGCTGGAGGAACCTGTATGAAACAAGCTCGTGAGCATACTAATTAAGCATTTTTTGAGAAATTTTATTAAATGTGGTCTTTTGTTGGTTTTACCTGATAACCCTTATATTTGATGAGCTCTTTTAATCTATCGACCACGAAGATGAACCCATCCTCATCAATGTAGCAAAGGTCTCCGGTGCTTAACCATCCACTTGAGTCTAGAGTTGAGGCTGTTGCTTCCGCGTTGCTAAAGTAACCTATAGTTGCACCATTTCGGATGTCAGCTTAATTTTGTTCAACTTCAACACTGCTAATCAAGATTAAAAACTCAAAACCATGCATTTCCTCAATTTCTTAAGAGATCAAGAAATCTCCCCATGCTTCAGAGTCCAGGGGCAAAGGAAATTTTCTAGCAAAATCTTAATTTTTTAAATTATTCTCAAAGTCGTCCATATATACAGAAACAATCTTTCTATGTTCAAAAATAGAGATAAGGTGTACATATAACATATCGTTTTATCATTGGCATGGAAAAAGGGGGTAAATGGCAACACCACTTTGTGTTTATCTTTTAGTATTTTTAGATTCAGATATTTAAAAATATTCAACCACTTTGAGAATACAAGAGAGAGTTTATTGGTCTTTAAGAAAAAAAAGGAACATGAAAGAAAAAAGAAACATAAGTGGAGTGGAAGCACTTGTCTCAACAAAATAACATGACCCCACCAACACACTCACCCAACACACTCATCATCCCATAACTAATTCCCATCCACATCTTCATTTTCAAACATTATCTATTGATTTTTATTGAACTAAAAACTTCATAAAAAAGGAGTATCTACAAATTTTACAGAACATGTTAAACTGTTTGCAGTCTGAAATTTTGACAAAAGGGTTTTATAATAAATAATAATTAGATGGTAAAATGTAGTTGAATCTATGGGATCTTTTAAATCCCTTCACATTTGTTCTCTTAAAGCAATTTCTTGTAAAGTCGGTTGGTTGGGTGATTCGCAATTCACTTATACCCAAACGATTAAATAATGAAATTAAATAACACTATAAGTTAAATTAGGTATCCGACACCTTAAACTAGAATAAAAATAAAAGAGTGACTAAACATTAATACAATTAGATAATAGTTTGTACCTTTCATCACCGTGGGACCCTTGAGCCAAAGCTCCCCGGTCTGATTCACCGCCAACGCCTTTCCGCTATCCGGGTCAATAATTCTAGCCTCCATATTCGACGATAACATCCCAGCAGTTCCATACCTCCGGCTCTCCTCCATCGTATCGGTTGAAGCCCCTATTCCGGTCGTCTCCGTCAGCCCATACCCTTGCATAATCGTCACTCCCGGAAACTTCTCCATGAATCCTTCTGTCAACTCTTTACTCAACGGCGCTCCTCCAGATAACGCCCACTTCAAGCTTCGGAGATCGTATTTCTTCCTTATTTGATCTGCGTTATTGACGAGGGCTACGAGTATGGGTGGCACCAGCGGCAGGTACGTTACTTTGTACATTTCTATCGCGGATAACATATCCTGGATCTCGAACTTCGGCAGAACCACAACGGTCGCCCCGGACGCCATCAGTCCCGTTGCAAAAGCTACTAATCCGTATATGTGAAACATGGGGACGGTGCAGAGAAACGTTTGTTGATCTTCCAGCTGGAACCGTCCGAGAACAGTTTGAACCATGGCTATTAGATTCCGATGAGACGAGATCACGCCTTTGCTTGATCCGGTGGTGCCGGAGGAATACAAAAGCGTCGCCGTATCGTCCTGAGTCACTCGCTCCTTAACTCGGTTCCGATTCGGCTCCTTCCTCATCATTTCCTCTAGCGTGCTCACAATTTTCCCCTTCCCGCTACCAGATCCAATCAGTACGATCGGGAGATTTGATTCAGCGAGTTTCGGCAGGAGCTCAGGGATCGTGAAGGCAAGCACTGGTTTGGAATCTGCGATTTGTTTGTTGATTTCGCGATTAGTGTTGAGAGGATTTGTAGTAGTGATAATGGCGCCGAGTGACATGACGGAGTGACAGACGATGGGGAAGAAGATGGAGTTAGGGGAAAGTAGCAAAACGACGTCGCCTTTACGGATACCGAAGTCGGAAAGCGACGAAGACACAGACTCCACCATCCTCCATACATCGGAAAAAGTAAGGCGGCGGCCGGTGGATGCGTCGATGTAGGCAGTGACGCCATGGTGCGCACGCGCCGAGATGAACGTAGTCACATCAAGAGTTTGGTTGGCCGGTAATGGTGCTGGCCTCCGTTTGCTGTAGAAAGTAGAGTTCGATTTGCAATAACCACTTCTTCCGTCGATCTCAGACATGTTGCAAACATTCGCCATAGATCAGATCTCTTTCTACCTTCACCCTGGTGTTCACTCTTTAAGTAGAATGGATTCATGGCCTTGTGCATGACCGTCTTTGACTTGTGGCTGATTACTCATGGACGGATTGGATTTGTTTATAATCTGATGGGTTAATGAAAACCGTTGATTTGTTTGTTGGTCCACCACAGTGGTCAATTGACATTTCAATTGCGTGCCTTATATGTTCTCCGTTTTTTTCTTTTTAAATTCTCGTGCGTATATTATTTTTATGACATTTTTTTAAATTTAATGGTTTTCCATATTAATCCAACACCATCCGCCCACCGTCCTTGGGTCGTTACAAAAATAAATTTATAATTCATAACAAATTTACTTCTCTATGTACCGTTACATCTTTTATAAGTTATAAATTAATATTAATCTTATATATATTAAAGAAGAAACCACGTCCAGTGACGTGGCCTCTTCTAAGGCCTGAAAACTCATTTCTCTGCTCTCCCCTTTTCTCAAGCTATCGGTTAATATTTTCTTAAAACCTTTCAATATTCACCGGCTTCTTTTTCGTTTTCTCTTCGCCCTCTCCTTCAAAATAGGGTTTTTTGTTATCTGTCCTCAACCTGCCGCTCTCCTCCTCCATCCCCCTCAACTTGCCTCATGACCCCCTAAACTGCCCTTGCTTCACATCGTCCTTCAATCAACCAAGGGGTTTGAATACATGTCCTTCAATCAACCAAGGGGTGATAAGAACGAGCCATCACTGGACAGAAAATTGGGTCGATCCTTCAAGAAATGATGTTTGTGATCTGTTTTGCAACCGCCAAAGTAAATAAACCAAACCCCATCGAGATCCCATTAGGTTCAGACCTTGCTCGGCGCCGGTGGAGGAGGTAGTACCACCGCCCCACCATCCTCCTCTTCATCTTCTTCTAATAAAAGGTAAAACAAAATTAGGGTTTGTTATATTATCTATTCCTTTGTGAATTTAGGGTTTGTTTTAACGTATTTTTGTTTCAAGAAATGATGTTTGTGATCTGTTTTGCAACAGCCAAAGTAAATAAACCAAACCCCATCGAGATCCCATTAGGTTCAGACCTTGCTCGGCGCCGGCGGAGGAGGTAAAACCAAGGTAAAACAAAATTAGGACTTTGGAATATCAAGTCCTCTACACCAATGTTTCGAATTTGGAGGATGAGAGTTAAGGACTTTTTGGCGTAGTCCAAACAGAGTGCTGGGTTATGGGTTAGAATTGCTTCATAAGCTCGGTCTTCTTTGATAAGAGGTTTCAACCCCAAAAAAAGGAATATTCTCATCCTAAAATTGTTCTAGGTTCCATTACAAGKTTAAGACTACCATAAGTATSACCAGAGTAACTGCCAACTCACCAACTCTACCATGTGATTGCCTTTTGCATTAACATATTACATCTCATCCGATTGCTATATATCCTTGGTGTTAACTTGCATGTTTTGAATACACTATTTGGCTTACAAATTTGTAAAATGTGGCAGATGAAGAAGACCGTATTATACTCTCGGCTCACGTGGGCATCGATTGCACGRCTCTTGYCAGGAAGAACTGATAACGCTATTAAGAACCACTGGAATTCAACCGCCGAAGCACGCCGTTGATACCGGGCCATCAAAGACGGAGCTGAACACGCAATCTTGAAGGTTAATTTTACTTAAAAAATGAATTTATGTTATCTTCTTTCCTTACGTTGCCACATTTCTGCTCGATTGATTTCATTTTTGCACCACTTTCGTTGATCCGAGTATGGCCGGAAGTGGGTTTCTTCTCCAAAAGCCCTTAACAAAAAGTTAAACCAATATAATGCAATGGTTTTTCAGAGGTATCAGCAGGTTATAGTTGTTAGTTTTTTGTTTTAGTTACAAATTGTCCATATATTTGTTTTTTTTTTCAATTATAATTATGCTATATTGTTGAAGAAAAACCCCATAGGTGTTCATTCTGTCCTTTGGTAACAGAAGTCAGGTCAAAGCTTTTGTTGGATGTGCATAGTGTGAGTTTTTGCAAGGAAAGCTTAAGCAAACACTAGATTCTTGAAGATGTTTATAAATTATTGAATTTTCGTTATAAATTAATCATCRTTATAAAAAAGAAATCGATAGATCAAACTATAATCCAAAGGTAAATTCGATCTCTAATAAGTTGTCGAAGTGTAAAAATACTCACACGAAGAGATAATAATTCGAACGTTATTGTGAAGTAGTGTTATTTTGCATTTTAGAGACGATGATAATTGATTTACAACAAAGATCAAATACAATAATTCGAATCGAAGAGTCTTAAAGCTCTATTTATGAATATTTATTTTAGACGTTGGCTATTTCTCGATTTAYGGTATTCCAACTGATGTTAAACATGTTGGAATATCAAGTCCTCTACACCCATGTTTCRAATTTGGAGGATGAGAGTTAAGGACTTTTTGACGTAGTCCAAACAGAGTGCTGGGTATACTTCAAAAATAGGGTAAGCTACAAATATCTAATAACCTTTGCCATCATAGAAGGTAAAATGAAAAATATATTGCAAYTATAGAGGCCTATGGCATATTGATACATAACCCTTAAATATTTGAATATTCCCTGCTGATGTTGAATATTCTTCCCAAAGCCTTATTTTCTTCATCTCTTTGCTGTCTATGGTGTTGTACCTGCCTATTCTGCACAGACCAATCAACTCACCCTGGTTTCATGATTCATAGGTAACCTATTACGTGCAAAGTGTAAGAAAGTTATTGCTTTCAGCGGATTGACCATGTAAAAACTAAATTCAGGGCATTTATGTGTATTTCTTAAATTTGCTAAAACAAATTTCTATTCTGAGTTACTGGATAGAAATCCACATTTATAAACCTGTATGACCTATTCCCAAAATGAATGCATATCGTTCCTTTGCCATTAGTGTTCTTCATGTTTTATACTTCAGTGACTAATTCAGGTTYGTTATTTTCCCTCTTAACTTCATTTTCAGACACACCAACCAGAATTTCTTCAGTTTCACTGTGATCGAGTTCAGAAGTAATAATGTTTTTTGTCAAATCTCTGCATGGTTCAGAGTCCATGCCTTCACCGTTTATGCTATCATCCGGGTCAGGCTCATAGTTGTTGGTCAACACCTCATAGTCATCAGGGTCAGGCTCATAGTTGTTGGTCAACTACTTTAATCATCTTTGTTATACTTTGTGTTCCCATTTATTTTCTATGGTCATCTAACTTAAACTTTTAAATTGCTTTTAATTCCATTCATGGTTAGTGTTATTGTCTTAATCAATGTTTTTCTCAAGCTTCTCCTACTTTCAGATGAATGAATTCAAGACAACT